TGCAGTTTTAATTGTGGGGAGGAATGCAATACAATGATTGAGAGATGTACAAATGTGATTTTTTAAAACAAAACAAAAATGACGTATGGATAATCAAGAAAACCACTTCAGTCTAGTCAGAGTTCATCTTAAAATAATATAGTAATATAAAATATATTCTTAAGTTTACTTTAGTAAAGATATTACAGCAAAAAGACACTTGTACCCTGACCAGAAGTGGGATGTTTTTAGAATGTTTTTTATTCTTAAATGCCATTTTACTTGCTAAAAATTGCGGATTAATTTATGTTGAGGATTAAGTAAACAACAGGTTTTTATGAAAAGTTTTAATCATGTTGATCATTTAGAGGCCTCAAAAATGTTTGCATCAAATATGATACAGTAGGTTTTATAAAAGCTCTGTCTCTGGAATTCTCCAATGTTCTTCAAATTTGACACAAAATGACACCATACTTGGTCTGATTTGGAGAGGTTACGAAAGCTCTCCGCTCGCATTGCTAATCGTATTGCGTTGCGACACAAGTAAAAGCCTGGATGTAAGTGATTGTTGTAATTAGAGCACTTTAAATTACAGCCCTAATTCCAGACGATGTCCCCCACCATTCATATGCTGCTGACCACGCTAGAAATTCCTCCCTGATGGGACTCCTGGCTCTGTCATAAAACTATCTGAGGTGTAATCTTCAACTGATTTACCTACCGTTTCCTCACCATCGCCCAATAAAAAGGGCGAGACCGCCGAGGTTTCGTGGAGCTAGTTTGTGATTAGGGATGCATAATCGTATCCTGCTTTGATAATTTCCATGCCTTATAACTTCTTGCATATATAATGCGAGGGACTCGGGAGACAGACAGTGTGCAGTGTAAGCAGGGAGGATTTGGGAGCAGCGCCGGGCTGCAGTCTTAATCTGGCTCTGGAGACGAAGCGTTTATGATGTACATCATTGGCTGAACTGGAGGAAGGACTAATTATAGTCATCCCGCATGACACATCCTGAGGTATTGACCATTTGTTCTTTTTGGTTAGATGGGGTACTAAGCACCTGAAGAGCAGCTCTCAACTGTCCGAGGAAAGCTGATGAGTCTGTTAAAAACAACAAGAACTCTTATGAGAGACGAGCGGATGAAGTTGCTGACTACGGCAAAGTTAAAATTAAACAAAATTAAACCTCAGTTTTTTTCCTCATTTGTTTCCAGGGTAATAGTTTTCAACCTGGCTAGAGCGTGATGTTGTTTTCCGCTCTGCCGTTTGGATCGACAATCGCTACTGTTCTTGTTCATGGAAAGTTCAAGGCATTATTCACGAAGTAAAACTGTGACACTGACATTAAAGTATAAATGAATGTGTACTCTCTTCCACCACTCTCTGAGGTGGAGATAATGAGATGCTATATCACCATGATGGAGGGAGTGGAAATCTGATTAAGATGTGTTTGCATCCAACGTCTCAACTAACTGCAAAACTCAAACGCATTTGCTGTCTCCCCCATAACTAATGGCTGGTTTAGAGCGTGATGTTGTTTTCCGCTCTGCCGTTTGGATCGACAATCGCTACTGTTCTTGTTCATGGAAAGTTCAAGGCATTATTCACGAAGTAAAACTGTGACACTGACATTAAAGTATAAATGAATGTGTACTCTCTTCCACCACTCTCTGAGGTGGAGATAATGAGATGCTATATCACCATGATGGAGGGAGTGGAAATCTGATTAAGATGTGTTTGCATCCAACGTCTCAACTAACTACAAAACTCATAAAACGCATTTGCTGTCTCCCCCATAACTAATGGCTGGTTTTCACGGCTTTGACAGCGAGCCGTGTGTGTTATTTTGTCCGGGTATTATAATAATAATGAGAGCAAATTAGAACAATCAATTTCCATGGGTGGTTCTTGATTGGGGATGATGGGCAATATGGCACTGGGTAATCCATCTTCCTGGCCCTGTCTCATTAATGGCTGCGTCGCCGCGACAACAGCCAATGGCAGTGCGGCGCTATGGAACACATGGGGGCACCATTCTGTGAGCCTATGTTCAATTAGCAGTGGCGGCGATAAACAGAGTGATGTATGCAGGCTCGCAGATGTGGCAGCTTGAATTTAGAGCCTTTTAAAGCCCCTGTATGTATCCTCTGTGCCTCGACACACTCGCATGAGCCTGTGCGACGCCCTCGCTGAATGTGTGCTAAACAACACTCAGCCAACAGTGCTTCTCATACATGGTCTTCAACAGTGATAAAGGCTGCTTTAAATTCAATAAGTAAATAAAAATCCCAAAAAGGTTACTTTTTAGTGTCGGGCAACGATTAATTGCAATTAATCGCATCCAAAATAAAAGTTTTTGTTTATATAATATGTGTGTGTGTACTGTGTATATTTATATATAAAGACACACACATACAGTGCATATTTTGAAAATATATTTACATGTATATTTATATTCATATAATTTATATTATATATAAATATATTTATTTAATATATAAATATACATTTTTCTTAAATATATACATGCATGTGTATTATATATATATATATATACATACATACATACATACATACACATAATAAATATACACAGTACACACATATATATTATAAAAACAAAAACTTTTATTTTGGATGCGATTAATCGTTGCCCAGCACTAGTTATTTTACATTGTAATAATATTTCATAATATTACTGTTTTTAGTGCATTTTTGATCAAATAAATGCAGACTTGGGGAGCATATGAGAAATGTGTGTGTATTATATATTATTTTAATTTTATTCTATTTTATTTAAATGCTGACAGGCAACTAATTTCCTACATAGCTGTGCTATCTATCTATCTATAGTATATCTAGCCGTCTATCGTCTATCTATCCATCTATCTATAGTAAATCTATTATCTAGCTATAGTATATTTATCCATTTATCTATCCATGGTATATCTATCCATAGTACATCCATCTATCCATCTATATATCTATCATATATATAGCTCAAGTGCTTATTTTCTAATCAATAAATACAGTTGAGTGAATGAGGTGTGATTTTTAACAGCGACTGGCTATAAAGAAAGACTCTAGACAGAGGACATCACCATTGATCTGGAGAAATCTAACCTGCTGTCAGCTTGTGAGTAGCTGTCCCTGATTACATTCATCAGAGAATCAGCCATAGAGGGAAAGGATATTAGGTTTCAGGGGCAGCCATCAATCCAAGTCATTCTTAACCTGATCAAGTACACAACACTTTCCAACCCAACATTAGACGAACACACCAACAGCAATCAACTAGAGCAGCTCAATCTATACTCCAGGGTCACATGTGCTAGCATGAGGATTGAGGAGTGAAGGAGAGAGAATGATGAGAATGCGAAGAGCAAGTTTCTATACATTTATAGACTCCATGTGCAATAATAAAACCAGGTTTGAATCCACGTGGAAATAGGGAACAAAAGATTTCTTTCTGATTTGATTTTATAAGTATTGACTAGGTAAGATAAGGTGAATTTATATTTCATACCAAATGTCATATCTTCATATTTGGGTTGCCCCAAAGACACATGTCCCTTTTAGTATCTATGTATTATTTTAAAACAAATGATTTTTAATGAAGCAGCATGAGGTTGTTGGCAAGTCTTATGACAGATCAGTCAGATCCTGTAGTCCCTGAGGGAGACACAGGCCAGTGAGGAAGATCTCTGGAACTTTCTTTGAGCTTCATGCATTAAAATGTGTCATCATCATCACCACACTTCAACTGTCAATGATTATATCAGCTATAACTTGTGACTCAAACTGTAACATTCATTTTCAAACTCATAAACGTGGTTTTGCTATACAGAGCTAAAAATTAACAAAACCAGTGATTCCTCATAGACAACCAACTTCAGCAATGTAAAACATTCAGGAAGTGTCTAGAGAGCCATCTTCTGTCTCCACTACTTTTTCACCTGAATATTTAACAAGAAAAGATACAGGGCAGGACTTAAAATTGCCATGAAACAGAAGTGAAACAGATCTTTTGTTCCATAATTGTTATACACCTATGGCGGGTAATGCTAAATAGAAAAAGAAAAAAAAATGTAGGGTAGGAACTTCTATGTATTGGTTGCTGACTGGATTTTAACATGAGTGAGCGTTGTACTCAAAAATGGATGCAGATGAACTTGAGTTTGAAGAGGCGAGAAGTCCCCCATACACATCACCAGAAAGAAGTTTGTCATTTTACTGAAATATCCAGTTGTGACAAATTTTGATTAAACATTACACAGTCATTTTTAAAAAAATGAATGCATTTAAGAACTGTTGAAAATAGGCCTATGCATTTACAAAACAGACAGGGTGAACTGTCTTTTCTTGGTGCATAAAAATAAAGTCAGCATAAATTCAATGGATAAGGAGAAGCATTACTTGCTAGAGCAAACACAGGATAGCATAGACAAGGCTAAAATAGCTAAATAATTCATATCAGCAGAAAGGGAACGTTTCCTATACACTCATTTCATGTTGACTTTAAGCTCACACGAGTCTCCCAGTATAGAACCCTAATGAACATGCTTAATATCATCTACCAACTAATATCATCATGAGAACTTCCTCTGGATACTACAATTATAAGAAGCAGAACATGTAATTCACGAAAGAGGAGCTATTTAAAGTTTAAAACAAACTAGCTCCTCATCGAGTTCACTGAACTGACACTAATAGTATTCTTCGAAGATGGCTCTCTAGACACTTCCTGAATGTTTTACATATTCATTCATTCATTCTACCGCGATTGATACACCAAACCGTTTATGAATATCTTATTTTTGCTCTCTGTGCTGTCTTTTAGGATTACTCACTATTGGATTCTCCGTAGTCCCCTCATTCTAGTGACCGCAGACTTTGTAAATTCACTTAGCTAATTGATTTCAGCAGGAATCACGTTGTTGACTGTCATGTGATTGTACAAGCTTGGTCTTGTTAAGAAACGCCAGCCTCGGTCGGAAGAGCAGTGCCAGAAGGGCGCGCACAGGACAGGATTGATGAGATGAGAGGCCGCTTGGCTGTCAATCATACGATGTACTGGCTGTCAATCTATTGTGACCACGCCCTCATGTCAGCTATGACCACACCCTCACGTCCAAGATGAAGTCGGTAGCACAGAAAGACGGCCAGTAGAAACTAACTAACTAACTAACAAAACTTAACTCATATTTATCTCAAGAAGTCTTGTAGCCTATAAATAACTTGAATATGGCCGAAGAAGTGTTAATTCTTAGTCCAGGCAAAATAACATCGGTAAGTACACAATTTTGTCATTATTTAAATGATGTGTCACTTTGTTATAAATCTGCGTTAGTTTTGTAACTTATTTGTTTTCGTTCTAATTTTGTTCTTATCGTTCTCTTAAACCGTATTATTGATTGCCATCTACGGATCTTCAGTAGTAGTTAGTTTAAACATGAGTTCTCAAATGACACTTTATTAAAGTTTAATTTTAGTAGGCTGTTGAATTTTGGTTGATGAAATGTTTGTAATAATAGGTTTCAAAAGGTATTGTAATATCAGTAATATTTAGTAATGCAATATTTAATGTCACATTTTTCTTTTGTACGATATGGTGTGTAGAAAAAAAAGAAAAGGCATTAAGTTAATGTCACAACAAGACATTTTCTCATCATCTTCCCTCACGTGTAGGACTACACATAAGCAACTGTATCTGACCACTTAGTGGGACAAATTAAGTTTTCCACTCATGATCTGAAGTGTAACGACCACTGAAGTCACACCATGAGAAAGCTGTTCTCTCCTCTTCTGACTTGAACGATTGCTTCAACATTTTAAGATCACTAGAATAGAATAGAATGTTCATAAAATATATAAATGAAATATATTTGTTTATAAGACTAAATATATTTATTTATAGATGTATTTTTATGTGTGCCACATGCAATTTAAATACTGTATAGTCCAACACATTAATGGACATACAAATGTAAAACTATTGTTTATGTACTAAGCACTATTTATCTATATTTTGATAAAATGTATGTTTTTGTTTAATTTCTGAGTTTGTTCTTTTGAAACACCATAAGGCTGCCTGAGACTTATATGATTCTTTGACATCAGGGCTCATGCATGGAGGGCTCATAGTTTCAGCCACAGCATTTTAAAGGGGTACTGGATAGCTGGCCAATCAGAGCACACCTTGCTTTTCAGACCGATGAGCTTTGTAAAAATCGACGCATTTCAGAAAGGCGGGGCATAGAGGAGAAACAATAATGTACAGTATGTGGAAAATAATGTTTTTTGAACCTTAAACCGCATAAACACATTGCATTACACCAAATACACAAAATAATGTTATTTTTAGCAACATCATATGATCCCTTTAAAGAAAAAGAAACAACAAAGATAGTTTGCCACTTTAAGAAAAAATAAGGAAAATTACAGCTTACATGCCATAAATATGTTCTTGTTTCTTTTTTATAGCATCTTACCTCATCTCTGCTGGCAGTGGCTTTCCTCACCTCCTTTGGTAGCTCAATGCTGTATGGATACAACTTAGCTGTGGTCAACTCTCCTGCTGGGGTAAGAGCTCGCTCAGTACCTCAATTGCCAAAACTGCTCATCAAAAGAAGTAATCAATTGATAACATAGCCAACATATTCCATTCATCACAAAGTTTCTTAAAAGTGGCTTCCAGTAGAGAGATGCACGTCAGGCTCGAGGTTGAAATAAACACAGTGGCCTAAACAGAGGCTCTCCTGAAGCAAGATCTCAGGGAATGTTGCTTTAACATGATTCTGTGCATTCTAGACATTCTTGTTGTAAAAGTGTGATTTCTACAAGGAATTCGGGAATAATTTAAATATTAATATAAACTGATATTTTTATATATCATATGGTACTTACTATTTATATATTAGATTTAAATATATCATAAATAAATCATAATTTTAACCAGAGAGGATATGGATATCAATATGGGATAAAAAAGAGAAAGTTATCTTTAGACTTTCTCCAGAAACTTGAAGAGACAAAGTGTTGAAGCCTTATTTTCATTTTTTGTAGATGAGTCAGTTCTATGTTATTTTTTCATCTTGGCTTGTCAGGCATTTTGTGCTGCAGTGGTTGCCTCTAGCAGCTCTTCGTGTATATAAGTAGGGACCTATTTGCCCTGCCCCATTAGCCTGTTAATGACAAAAATATTTAAATTTGCCTGTCTGGTCTCCTGACTGGCTGTTATATACCCTACTTAAGTGGCTTTGTTTTGTTCTGTTTTTCTTGGAACATGATGTGCTAATGAAGAGGATTCAAACATAGAAATCCAAAAGTCACAACTGGAAACAGTTGCTTGCTTCTTTTTTTTTTCTTTTTTGAAGCAGAAGCTCAATCAATGTTATCAATAATCCACTTTTTTTTTCTAAACTCAGTTTTAGTTCAGTTGAATCTATTGTTGAGTAAACTGAAAGACTATGTTAAGTTTTCCCAAGTCTATTAAATTATACTGCACTGTTCCAACTAAAGGTATGTAAACTGATTAAATTAAATTAGACTGTGACCTTAAAGCACAGGCAACAGAGAGAGTTGCATAGAAAGAAAGAAAGAAAGAAAGAAGAGCTTGTGACGAGACAGAGGCATGTAAGTCCATGTTGAGGTGTGTTTCACTGAATAGAAGCTTTGAGATTTGAAATATGAAAACTTGAAATATGAAGAAAGAGGAAGTTGAAGAAATTGGGAATGCCTGTTAAAGATGCCTTTCCTTGTGCCTTTCTTGAGTCTCACAGTACTATATATGTTAAATACCAAAAAAATAAGTTTTAAAGAATAGTTCACCCACTAATAAAATCATCCTCATGTTGTTCCAAACCTTTATTCTTAGGGTGATAAAGTTGGGACATGTGAGAAGTAGTCATATGGACTACTTTTATGATACTTTTATACAGATTTTTTTATTATTATTATTTTGTAGCTTTACAGTTCCTTTTTACTTAAATAATAATGAATGGAAATAAATGAAAACGCACAAGATATCCTTTAAATTTGACTGAAAAAAGGGAAGTACAACAGTTTTTCAGCAAGAGTAAATGCTAACAGTATTTTTGGGTGAACTTTTCACTTCAATTTCTCTCTTTCTCTCTGTCTCTCTCACTAGTACATTAAAGACTTCTATAACCGTACAGTGGTAAGTCGCAATGGAACTGGATTAAATGAGGAGGGAATAGTTCACCCACTAATAAAATCATCCTCATGTTGTTCCAAACCTTTATTCTTAGGGTGATAAAGTTGGGACATGTGAGAAGTAGTCATATGGACTACTTTTATGATACTTTTATACAGATTTTTTTATTATTATTATTTTGTAGCTTTACAGTCCCTTTTTACTTAAATAATAATGAATGGAAATAAATGAAAACGCACAAGATATCCTTTAAATCTGACTGAAAAAAGGGAAGTACAACAGTTTTTCAGCAAGAGTAAATGCTAACAGTATTTTTGGGTGAACTTTTCACTTCAATTTCTCTCTTTCTCTCTGTCTCTCTCACTAGTACATTAAAGACTTCTATAACCGTACAGTGGTAAGTCGCAATGGAACTGGATTAAATGAGGAGGCCCTGACGCTCATGTATTCACTCACCGTTTCTGTGTTTGCGATTGGAGGCCTGATCGGCTCTTTGATGGTGGGCACTCTGGTCACCAAATTTGGAAGGTAAGTCAGGAGGAGACCCATAACATCTGGCATGGTGTGGTCACTCTGCCAGGAAATCCTGTGTCAAGTGTCAAGGCCACCGAGGTAGATTCTTCCTCATCTGTCACCTCACCTGACCACACTGAACGACTTTGCCTTTGCCTTGTAAATGGCCTTGTTTGCACTCTGAAAAGAGGAGACATTTTGTTCTGTCCAGTTAGTTCCAGGTGTCTTTGTTGGTGATTAGTTCAACCACAAATAAAAATGCTATAATTTATTCACCCCCATGTGGTGCCAAAACTGTATGAATTTCTTTCTTCCGTGTAACACTAAAGAATACATTTTGAACAATGCACTGATCGTGTTCTTTACATGCAGTTACTGTGAATGGAGAATAGAGCTTTCAAGCCTCAAAAACAAGGCAAAAGCTCAGCGAAAGTGTCAAAAAATCTGTGTGATCTGTGTGACTTACATCCAAATCATCTGAAGCCATAGGATCGCTTTATCATATGGATCACTTTTATAATACTTTACTGATGTTTTGTGTCTTTTTTTGTAGCTTGAAAGCTTCTGTCTGCATTATTTGTAATTGCATGGAAAAGAGCAAGTACATTATTGTAATTCTCCCTTTAATAAGAGAAGTCATACCAGTTTGGAACAACATGAGGATGTGTAAATAAAAACATCCTTTGAAATGGCCAAACTAAATTTTTATAGCTGTGGTAACATATTGTTGTATAGAGACAAAACTGTTCAATTAACCACTTTGTAACTATGTGCATTTCCTAACTTACTACCTTAAACTTCTATTTTGTACTCTCCAAGGACTCTGGAAGTACGCTTGTCTAGTCTGTTCTGAGTGTCTATGAGTGGTGCCACAAGATTTGACTGCAGACATTTAAATGCAAATGAAAGACGATGATTCATGACCCTATTTATTGTTCTAATCAATTTCAGTCCAGCAAAATGTTTTATAGCAGTAAGGTGATCATAACGCAGAACACGGTGCAGCCGTCTGTAAATCAGGGGGAAAGTTTACAACTTGATAGAACTAATCAAGGAATGCAGCTATTTCACCCAGCAGCACTGTCATGGAACATCAGTTATCTGGTTTTGATAGTTAAACTCCCAGGTGGCCGGCTATCGAGCATGACTGTCCTAGCTTAATGAGCAGTGCCAGAGCAGAACTTCACAGTGTTTGCTTTTGCAGGAAAGGAACGGTGGTCAACTCCAGCGTACTGGTGTTCTTAGCAGGATCACTCATGGGGTTCAGCAGGATCTGCGCTTCGCCCGAAATGCTCATCATTGGTCGTTTTATAACAGGAATACATTCAGGTATGTCCCAGCTGAAAAATAAGCAGGTATAGCAAAGTAAGTCTTGATGTGAATAGACTCTGACATGCTTTGCTCATCTCCAACTTCCAGGTATCTCTCTCAGCGTGGTGCCCATGTACCTGGGAGAGATCGCTCCTAAAAATCTAAGAGGCTTCCTGGGGCTCATGCCCAGCATTTTCATTTGTGCTGGGGTTTTCTTAGCTCAAATCTTGGGCCTGCATGAACTTTTGGGAAAGGTACAACTGGGAACTTCACATCAATGAACAATTTAACATTGTACAGTTACATTGCTCTTCTATTTTCATAATAGTTATGAAATAGAGTTCAGTATTCTGTTTTAACTTGTGCTGTTTTGTTTGACAGGAAGAGCACTGGCCCCTGTTTCTCTCTCTTGTGGTTGTCCCCACCTTTATCCAGCTGATGCTCTTACCGTGGTTTCCAGAAAGCCCACGCTACCTGTTGATTGAGAAGCACAATGTTCATGCCACTATCACCGGTGAGAGAAATGCTTTTGATTTAGATTTTAGGCATTTTTCTAAAACCATCCAAACATCAAATCTACCGTTTTTTTTTTATACTACAGTATATGTTATAGATCATCTTATTAATCTGTATTTTTGTCTTAATTATTAGTACACATTGTTGTAAACATTCTTAAAAAGAATAAATTTTATTTATTTTTTTACCCCATTGTCATAAATCTGAAAAACAAATTCTTATAATATATTAATAAAATAAGATACGTTTTGCTTTAAAAAAAGTTTTAGAAAAGAACAATGGGATAAAATAAACATAAATCAGCATATTCTCTGATAGGCTTTTATCTTGTGCCGTTTTCCTTCTTAAGTAAATTTAAGTTTATGAATAATTAGTTATTTTTACTAGAAAACAAGATAAAGATGTTGTTTTTTAAAAGTATTATTTTTAAGTATTTTTTTTCTTTTAGTTAGTTCATGGGTCATCATGAGGTGATTGTATTGGTGGGATATTGCAAAGTGATAAAAAAGGCAGCTCATGCTAAAAACTTTATCAGCTGACCCCTGATATAGATGAACATTAAAGCCAATAGTTTGTGTTCTCTTTGTTGGTGCAGCCTTGAAATGGTACAGAGCCAAATGTAACATCCAGGCAGAGATAGAGGAGATGCAGGAGGAGCAACGCTCTCTGTCCTCAGTGGAGACCGTGTCTGTCTGGCAGCTGATACTGGATCACACTGTTCGCTGGCAGGTCCTATCCGTGGTGGTCATCAACATCGGTATGCAGCTGTCTGGCATTGATGCGGTAAGATCAACATCCTGGTTAACATATAGAGCTGACTACACTGCATGTTTTGAGATTTGAGTTTTGACTCCTTTGTAATGGAAAGGTAATGATATGAACAATGTGAACAGTGATGGGATCTGGGCATGGCGAGTATTTAGCCTCTAAAGCCTCACAAGATTTCTTCCAACATCAAATAAACAGCAGGTAACCAAAGTGGTTTCAACCTGCACAGCAGAGCAGTGGCTCTTTCTTTATTTTTCAGGAAGCATATTACCTTCTTGAAATAGTTTCGTTTAACTTCAGCTTAATTATTCAGATGATTAAGAGGACGGAGGACAGAAACCTCACTTTTTATCCATCAGAGCTTAACAAATTACAATCTTGTGTTTATGCAGTCTAATTTTCACAGCCCTGCTATAGTGATAAATAAAGGCTATTATTCAAGCAAATTAGATGTATTTTTTAATTGTTACATCGTTAAGATGGTGATTATAGTGATTAGGCGGATCTTTTTTGATCTATAAACACTTCCTTTAAATCAGAACTAACAATTTAACAATTAGCTTGTGATTCAAGAAAAAATATGTGTATTTTTTTCCCCAAATAGTAGTTTGATGGTAGTGTTTAAGTTAGACCTGTCAGCTGACACCATTCCTTTATACTTGCCACTGCAGTGCTCTTTAATGGCATCTATATTATGATCAGAATCAGGGTTATGAATAAGAATTCTTATGCATCTCAGCAAAAACACACTGTGCTATTAAATATATTCTCCGAAATGAATTCTGCAAAGGTTTCTAGCATCACATTAAAAGGTTTTACCAGTATAACATACTGTGTATTTGTTATATTATTTTTTCTTTCTATAGAAATGTCTTATATAAATTGTATTGTTCTGAAATGTTGTTTGGTTGGCAGACTAATTCTTCATGTAATAATGAGGATAAAGACCGATAGAGCGCTCATTACCAGACCCACACGGAATCTGCGTGCCCAGAGCTCAGCAGAATTCAAACAGCCATCATTCGCAAACTTCTGCATATGAACAATAGTAGAGGAACAAAATTTCGTGGAGTTCATTAACCCATTCTTATTATGAAACACATAGAATTTATAACGGTATAAACAGCATATAAAAAAATAATAATAATACAATATAGGAAAGAAAAGAAAGCAAATTAAATTAAGTCAATAAATTCACACCAGTTACACATATTCCCCACTCCTTGCTTGTTGTTCATTTAATCATTCATTTGATGTTGGCTAACAGTGCAGTACTCTCAGCTCTGTTTACCACATTACATTCTGCAGAATTCCACAGATTATGCCACAAAATTAAGAAAAAAGGCTTCCGATTTCATCTGGAGTTTGTCAAATTGCAATTTCTATTTCTGTCATGTCTGTACCGCATCTGATTTCCACAACCAATGACAAAACAATAAATAAAAGCCATTATCTCAGTGGTGATTCATCAATTTAATTCATTTCTAGTCATTGACATTCATTCAACTGATTCTGAAACAAAACAAAATTGAGCATCTCGTTTCTTTTCTATGAGATTTGAGACCTGAACATGTTTGGGACTTACATTATTCAGTTGGTCTTTACAGAGATTGTTATAAAATAAACTAAAATGTTTACTCACTAGACAAGAGAACAGCACTTGATCTGGCTACAAACCAGCCTTAACCTTAGCCTTAATTTCCCAAATCATTAATACATCTTGTCAAAGTACATGAGCTGCTGATGTCAAATCCAAGCAGGACTCTTCATGTTTGCCCTGTGGGGTTTTGATATCAAATTTGAATATTAAATGACATTGACTGTTAGGGCCCTTAGGTGGCAGGTGACCCTGTGAGCGTCTGTGTGTGTGTATTCAGTGTAAATGCGGCTGACAGGTGGTGAGTCTTGGCTGACTTCAGCATGAGCAGCAGGAGAGAGGCAGGCCGTGTGTGTCCTCTACAGTCCCAGCAGCTCTCAAACGTCTGTAACGTCTGTGTTCCCTCTGATTACCCCCCTGCCTAACCTCTCACACAGCCCTCTAGCTCTCAAATTGAATCTGAAGTGTTGTACGCAGTAACCGCTCGTAGTCACGATATATGCCACCTGTACAAGCCAAAATCACTGTCCTTTCGCTCTTCTCCTCAGATCTGGTTTTACACCAATGACATCTTTGAGAACGCTGGAATCCCGGCCCCTGAGATCCAGTACACGACTGTAGGAACTGGAGCTATAGAGATCGTTGCAGGCCTCATAGGGGTGAGTTTTCATATTCCACCGACGCTTCCAATGTGAAAATTGTCTTGATAGTGGTAAAAGGCTGTCTGACAGGGTTATATAGTGACTCTAAATAGTTTATTAGACATCACTTGGTCTATTACTTCACTAGAGTTGCTGCATTTGAAAAAGAACGTCTCTTCATATCTCAGTCATTTTCATTTAGCTTTGCCCTCAATCTTTCCAAGCTCACGTTGTGTATTTTTCTGCTGTGACACACATAAAAATCACTGTGTAAGATGGGCGTTAGAGAGACTGATGTGACTTGTTTTTGCCGCCTCCTTTCTTGGGTCACATCTCAGAGCTGTAATGAAGGCCAGATACAGTCTCTCTGTCCCAGTTGCGTCGCTTAGCCGGGATTTAGTGATGCACCAGCAGCAACCGGAGAGAAAGAGGCACGCTGTTAGTCAGAAGAACTCATTGCTGTCAGTGTCAATTGGCCCTCACTCGGGAGGCGAATGGCACACGAGAGGAAGGCTAGAGATTGGTTATAAAATTACAGCTATTCATTCTTATGTCAGCTTCACCCGCCTTGAAGTCAACAGTGCACAGCTTTAGCACTCAATTTTATCAGCACTTAATGAAAAAACAAGGTTCCACTTCATGCTTCTGCGACATTTGCTTTCAAGAAAGCACCGAAAGTCTTCCTTTCAAGACAGCGGTTACTAATTAATCCGATCAAGACAAAAAGGAAGTGCCTATTGTGAACATCCACATTGCATCTCTTTGTTTTTCTTTCAGTGTTTCACCATTGAGCGTCTCGGGCGAAGGCCATTGATAATTGGAGGTTTTGGTGTCATGGGAATGTGTTGTGCTGGGATAACACTGTCTCTCATTCTTCAAGTAAGTGAAGTATAGTTAATAAATTGAAAAATACTTAAATCTAACTTAAATTGCATTTTAATAGCACTGCCCATTGAAATGACTGTTGTCAAAATTTGGACAATTGAGTTTTTGTTTTTTTCAATTAATTGCATTTATTACTATCACTTTTCAGACACATGTGCCTTTCATGAAATATGTGAGTGTGGGGTGTGTGGTTGGAATCATCGCTGGATTCTGCATCGGGCCGGGTGAGTTCTTTGTGTTTGTCACTCTTTCTTCTTCTCTTAATCTATTTATTAAAGTGGTCTACATGGCTGCTTTTAGGCATGCTCAGGCACATTCAGTAGAACACTGCTTCAATTGAATGAGTAGTTGTCTGCTCTTTGACCCTGAAGTCCCAGATGACGCCTTCAAATAGTGAAATAGCGACACCTGGGGGTAGAATTGAGAAAAGCAAACGCAACTGCCGTTCAGTATAGACCTCAGTGTTTATTTGAGCACTGTTTTTGTCATGCATGTATTCATTTTACAAAGACATATTATATTTTTTCTATATTTAATATATTCATATTTTATTTGTTCAGAATAGTGTAAAGGGTTTCAAACTTTCAGAAATAGTTATATATTTATTATGTTTATTATTTTTATAATTATCTAAAAATGCTAAAAATACTTATTTATTTTAGGATGGAACAAATTCTTATTTAATATTTAATTTTAAAAAATCCATTATTAGGATTAATGCTATATATCCTTATCTATCCTTGCGAAGCACGATTATTATTTTAAAATATATATATATATATAATTAATTATTCGGTAATATTTTAGACAGAGACAGAGAACAGGATACAGACGCCTTGGAAATTAAATGCATCTTGACTAAATTACATTAAATTGATATAATGATAAATTGTGCTGTTGCGGAGAAGATATTGGCATTTTAAGGAGTTTCAAAGATCAAAGTATGAAAGTTAAAGTGTGTACTTCCCTCTATTAGTGCTGCATGAGCATTAGACTCATAGATTATGTGCACAATAAGAGCAGAGAGGAGTAGCTCTGCTACAGTGATGAATGAGACTACAAGTGCTTTACTGAGTTGATGCATTATCCAACCCAACTCCAAAATCTATAATTCATTCTCAGGCCCCAGTCTCAATCGGTGTAATTACGTCTTTAATTAGGATTTTTTATGGCTCATTGTTCATAAACAATGATGAATATGGCTTTTTAAGACAAAATCCTGCATGAACAATAAATTACAAGCAGAGTTCCTTATCAATTTAACTGCAGCACGCCTCCTGCTGCAATTATCATGCACAAATAATGAAGCCATCGCTTGGCTTGTTCCTGAATTCATTACATTTGAAATAACACCTTGTGCCTCCTTATTTTTCACTTGTAACCAAAAGGGATTAGAATTTAAGCAGTGGAACAATATCTGCTTCCTGCATATTGAGATAACGAGCTGCTTGTATTTGCCGCCTCCTTTCTTGGGTTACATCTCAGAGCTGTAATGAAGGCCAGATACAGTCTCTCTCTCTCCCAGTTGCGTCGCTTAGCCGGGATTTAGTGATGCACCAGCAGCAACCGGAGAGAAAGAGGCACGCTGTTAGTCAGAAGAACTCATTGCTGTCAGTGTCAATTGGCCCTCACTCGGGAGGCGAATGGCACACGAGAGGAAGGCTAGAGATTGGTTATAAAATTACAGCTATTCATTCTTATGTCAGCTTCACCCGCCTTGAAGTCAACAGTGCACAGCTTTAGCACTCAATTTTATCAGCACTTAATGAAAAAACAAGGTTCCACTTTATGTTTCTGCGACATTTGCTTTCAAAAAAGCACCGAAAGTCTTGTGTAACAGTGGTTACTAATTAATCCGATCAAGACAAAAAGGAAGCGCCTATTGTGAACATCCACATTGCATCTCTTGTTTTTCATTCAGTGTTTCACCATTGAGAGTCTCGGGCGAAGGCCATTGATAATCTGCAATTATCATGCACAAATAATGAAGCCATCGCTTGGCTTGTTCCTGAATTCATTACATTTGAAATAACACCTTGTGCCTCCTTATTTTTCACTTGTAACCAAAAGGGATTAGAATTTAAGCAGTGGAACAATATCTGCTTCCTGCATATTGAGATAACGAGCTGTTCATAAAGCTAGTTTATTATCCTCCCTCCAAGAACTGTTGCACTACAGAAGAGCAATGCATACATGCATATGCATAAAATGCATTCATAATATGCACTCATTTGAGTTTTATTAGGCTAAAAAAAATATAACCGCTCTAGGTTTCACAGCACTTTTTCTCTGAGTAGGTAGCCGATTAAACATGAAAAATAAAGATGACGTCACAATATATCATTAGTACGAATGTGTCTGTTTTTGAAGGCCATTGATAATTGGAGGCTTTGGTGTTATGGGAATGTGTTGTGCTGGGATAACACTTTCTCTCATTCTTCAAGTAAGTGAAATATCGTTAATAAAGTGGAAAAATACTTCAAATCTCACTTACATTCACTGCCAATTGAAATAACCGTTGGCAAAACTGACAAGTGATATAACACTTTTTTTCACCTTTTGCTACTATCATGTTTTCAGACACATGTGCCTTTTATGAAATATGTGAGTGTGGGGTGTGTGGTTGGGATCATTGCTGGATTCTGCATCGGGCCGGGTGAGTTCTTTGTGTCTGTCACTCTTTCTTCTTCTCTTAATCTATTTATTAAAGTGATCAACATGGCTGCATCACTTTCAGTCATGGTCAGGCACATTCAGTAGAGCACTGCTTCAGTTGGATGAGTAGTTGTCTGCTCTTTGACCCTGAAGTCCCAGATGACGCCTTCAAATAGTAAAATAGCGACACCTGGGGGTAGAATTTTGAAAAGCAAGCGCAACTGCAGTTCATTCTTAAACCTCGGTATTTATTTGAGCACTATGTTTTTGTCATATATGGATTTATTTTACAGACATATTATATTTTGTCTATTTAGTATATTCATATTTTATTTGTTCAGAATAATTTTAAGACTTTCAAACTTATTTTAGATATATATAATGTTTCTATAATGTGTAATGTTATATATAATGTTTATTATTTTTATAATTTATCAAATTTAGAATTTAATAAAAAAACTAACTTCCAGAGTTTATTAGGATTAACGCTGTATATCCTTATTTCTCCTTGCGAAGCATGATTATTCCATTAAGATTTCTTACAATGTATTTTACATTTTATTTCATAATTATGTTTTATTTCCATCTCATTTATTTCAAATTTTTAAAAACAACATTAACTTACATATTACATAACAATTGAACAGTTTTTTTTCTGTGAGCACACAGTCAGAAGCTACATTGTACTAATACAAATTTAGGAGTTGATTAGTTTGGATCAAAGTTGTTATTTTAAATATTCCTTTGCTTTTTCAGACATCGCTGTTTTATTTACATACATTTCGAACACTGCTACAGCTGTAAATACGCATTAGTACATATACACTACCATTTCAAAGTTTAAGGTTAAGTTTTTTTTGTAAGAATACTTTTATTCAGCAAGGATGCATTAAAGACTTTTAGGAAGTTACAAAAGATTTATATTTTAAATAAATACTGTTCGTTTGAATGTTTTATTAATCAAAGAATGTTGAAAAATACAAATATTGAGTCGTTTTCAACATTTATAATAATAATGGTACTTGAGCACCAAATCAAAAATGAAAATTCTGCTCTGCCATCACAGAAAAAAATTTAATTGTAATAATATAAATTGTTTTCTGATTTTACAATATTTTAAATCAAATAAATGCAGCCTTGGGAGCATTAAAGACTTCTTTCAAAACAATTGAAAAGTCTTACCAACCCAAAACTTTTGAATGGTAGAGTATTAAGGTATAGGTTTTATTCACATATAGTATTATCTTGTATATTATCTATATATTATGTGTATGATATCTGAGTTTCAATCTAATTTATATGGATATTTATAACTGTATTTGACCTCACATGTACTAAAAATATTTTTAGAGTATTCAAACCTTTGTAACACACCAAATAAAAGTGTTTTAAATGAGCCTGTGGTAACCCATTTATTGAGAACATCAGGGTGCGGAGTGAAAAAAAGCTTACAAAGCAGGATCTGAATACAGACACTGTTGGTTTCTGCCAAAGAGCGCCATTGCCAGTCAGAGAAGAGCTTCATTAACTGATATATCACTGAAGAGGCAGATTTAATGCTTAATTAAAGAGAAGAGTCTCTCACCTTCCCCTATGGATCCCAAACAGCTGTATGGCTATTTATATTCAGATACACATTTTTTTAGACACACCTTTAATATAGTGCCCTTGAAGGGTTCAATGTTACTGCATTTAAGGTATGTATCAGATTATTGATATGTATCTATACAGAGAGCTATGTGCATGTGCAGTGTTGTCTTTCCTCTGTTATCCCAGGCCTGTGCGAGTATGAATGGGTTTCTCGGGTCTATCAAGCCCCTGGGCGGTGCTCTCCATCTGTGTGAGCATCTCCAGATCTCCCCAGAAGAGACCCACACAGACTAATGATATCATACGCCTGCGTCTCCCGCTCCGAGAAGAGAAATTGTGAGCTGAATTGTGTCTGGCTTTCTGTTGTTCCGTTCCTGATCACAGCTGAGCTCTTCAAGCAATCCCATCGTCCTGCCGCATATACTGTGGGAGGATCTCTTAACTGGATGTCGAACTTCACCATCGGCTTTATCTTTCCGTTCCTTCAGGTATCAAATCCATTCAATGCAGTTAAAGCCAAAGGTACACAGAGTATAATCGGAAAAGGGTTTTCCAGGGTTTGTCAGAGTCAATCATTGTGAAATTCAATCATCTTCATTTAATTCAGTTGTTTTAAAAAGGAATAACTTCGTATTTCTCTGCTGCAGATGTCTGCTGGGTCCTACTGCTATCTGGTGTTCTGTGCCATATGCGTGTCAGTGGCCATCTACGTGTACTTTGTTATTCCGGAAACTAAAAATAAGACGTTTGTAGAGATTAGTCAGATGTTTGCTACAAAAGAGGCTGTGGAAGAGAGCCAGGCCCTCACTCATCCGGACCAGCTCAAACTGAAAAAGATGAATGGATACGGCTCACTTGAAAATGGTTCACTTGAATTCGACAGTTCTTCTTCCTGTCCTTAAACTCAGAAGAGGTTTAGGAATTAGATCAGTTATCAGCCATGCATTAAGAAAGGCGCAGTTAAGTGAATCTTACTTTTGTGCGCAATGGGCTCAGACTAACAGAAGGTAAGTTTCTCCTTATAACAAAACAGGAGCTGACTTAGTTTTGTAATGATACTTAAACACCCACAGCTTTGTCTTACTTTGTATGCAAGAATAGTGCCATATACATGTGTTACCACATGTATATTGTTACTGAGAAATCACAAACTATGTTTTTTCACTATTTATCATGTTTGTGTTATGAAAGAAATTCCTTTCTTCAAACACCGAGCTCAAGGTCACTGGTTAAACGGGATCTCGATGGGCCATTGTGCACAGCTGTACTCTAACAGTTCATTTTAAGAGAAATTACAGTGCTGGAAAGGCAGCAATGTACTGAATTGCCTCATACTTCTTTTTATTCTACTTCTACTAAACAATTTTCTGCTATTTTATTCCAAATGTCATTTTAATGTAATATTTTTTAAATTATTTGTACACAATCTAAAGTTATCATCATCGTTATCTATCATTCTATCTTTCATTGTCTATCGTTCTCTCTGTATGTCTATCTGTCATTCTGTCCATCCGTCTGTATGTCTATCTATAAATCTGTCTGTCTATCTCTCCATTTGTCTGGCTGTCATTCTATCTATGATTCTATCAATCTATCTATCTATCTTACATTCTGTCTGTCCTTTTGTCTGCCTGTCATTCTATCTATGATCTATCTATTGTTCTATATATCTACAGGTATGTCTGTCTGTCTATCTATCGTTCTATCTGTCCATTTGTCTGTCTGTCATTCTATCTATCTATCTATTGTTCTATCTATCATTCTATCTATCTATATCTTACATTCTGTCTATCGTTCTATCTGTCCATTTCTCTATCTATAGTTCTATCTATCTATCTATCTGTCGTTCAATCTCTTGTTCTATCTATCAATCTATCTAGGCTATATATCTGTCTGTCTGTTGTTCAATCTGTTGTTCTCTATCTATATATATATATATATAGTTGCAGTGATCTCTTGCACATATTATTTTGAGTGTTAAATGGCATTGGATCATTTAGTAACGCTCAGGTGCTAACGTACCACTTTATCAGAAATGTTAAAATAGGATCAAAGTTGTTATTTTTGTCCGCTCTCTCTCTCTCTCTCTCTCTCTCTCTCTCTGTCAGTTGTAGGGGAGGGCCAAGCTCATGATTGGGTGGTCCAGATGCAGCATGGCCCTGTTGATCCAGATCTGTTTTATTTCCCACAAGGCAGAGCTTCACTATTTTCCACTGATATGACTTTGAAGAACCTGCACCATTGCAGATAGTACTTACATTTTAGCTTTCATTCACTGACTTGCACTGATTGGAGATAGTGAGCACGGGTAATGCCCACTGAATCTAGTTTTGTAGAATAAAGTCACTCTTAAGTCGTCACCAACTCTGTGCAGCTCTAAATACGGCAGCTCATATTTCACTGTGAATTGACTCCCCTGATGGAATGAGTGTCTGTGTCCTGTAGGTCAGCAGGAGGAGAGGATGCTGGTCTAATTAGCAGCAGAGGAATCTTCTGTCGGCCCAACACCTGTCACCACAGGCTCGACTCTGCCCTCTGCTGTCCGGAAGAGGAAGACGATCAAGGTGTCTACTACAGCAAGTGAATGTGAAGGTATGCTGTATTTATAGGCACATGATCCTCTTCAGCATTTCGAACACATTTATTAGACAATAAACCATATATTTAGAAACAAAAACCATCAATATGCGTGCACCGTATGAATGTGTCAAGATGTGGTAGCAGAATACCCACTTCCGAGCAGACATTTTGTCATAATGACAATGGCAGGAAGCGGGAGAATATTTCAACGCTCCCACTCCCACTGTCACCTCATAAAGAAACAAACACACACAGTACCCTCACACAGAAGACCTGCTGCTCGCTCCAACATTTTAATTAATGACAACAGATTTTCTTCTCATAAGTGCTTTAATGTGGCTTATTGCTGTAGCAGTCCCCTTGGCCGTGGAAATATTATGTTGACGGATGTGCTGTGTCGCTGGGACTCCCTGGATGGAGGCAGCTGTCAAGCCCGAGATGATAACATTAAGGCGAGGGAAAGTGATGACAAATGCCTGTTATCAGCGAACGAGGCCAGTGACAAATCGAATTGCGGCTCCCAAGAACCCCCATTACACCGTAATAAAAAAAGATTGATGGTCCTCTCTGTCAGGACCTCTGTTAATGCGATTTCGACTGGTCTCTCCGGCTTCCAATTAAGATGGCGAGGAGAAGGAGGGAGAGAGAAGCGACTACACACGACCGACTAATTGGATCTGAGAAGCCAAAGGCGTTCTCTCGTTCTTTTACTCTTTCTTTCCTCTCTCTCTCTCTCTCTCTCTTCAGCTGCTACACGTGCTTTCTCTCTCACTCGTGGCAGCGCAGTCTGGAGCGAATGCTCTTGCATTCCGTTATTTCAGGATTTATGGCTGGAAGATGGGGATGCAGACTGCGCTGCCGGTGATGGGGAGTGCTGTCTCACTGCCAGCTCTCGCATACAGACGGGCACAGATGGGAGCGGAGACGCAAACCCAGCCAGTGATGAAACGTCCTGACAAACAGTGGGACAGACAGAGAGACAAATAGCTCCATGTGAGCCGCTTGCCATGCAATTAAGTAAATAAGGATTGACTGTGTGTCAGTGGTGGGCTCCGAGTACGTCATACTTCACTGATGTCTGTATGCCCACTGATTTCATTACCACTGAATGCTTGTTATGCTTCTCAAGGACTTTTTGAAGATTAGGTGGTGACCGACACCGTGGTGGTTAAGCAAAGAGGGTCGCCCACCTTATAAAAAGATCCTTTCGCAATCACATTAGGTTGACCTCAAAATTGATAGGCCTGTATTTGATTATCGTCGATTTGAACGTTTGTAACTAGGTCACGTCTGTGCCGGTGACAATATCAGATCCTCTGGAAGCCTGCCATCTGAAAATTGTAGACTGACCTATAAAAGAAGGCACTGTCCATCAGCTCATTCTCCAGAGAAGCCTCCATGGCTCCTCTGTGACCTGAGGATTCATTGAATGATATAGGAGGTTTTATTGTGCCAAGCTTGTAGTTTTCGTCTGAGCTGTGCAGCCAGAGGGGAGTCATTTTGTCATTTTGACAGAACCTTCAGATCTTAGTGACATGAAAAGGGGGTTGTGACCAACCAATATTTCCACTGCCGTTTTACTTGAAGTGTTTGCTTTTATTGTATTAAACCTAGAGTTTTGTTGGGATTGACAAATTATTTTGATTGGCTCAATTGTGATTGGCTCAAACCTTGACTTTTAAATATATATATTTTTTATATTATATTTGATTGTACTATATATTTTATTTTATTGTATTATAGATTTTAGTCATTTTATTTATATTTTATTTAAATTAAACCTTTAAAAAAAGACATGGTTGTGATCAGCTTCAACCTTGTCTTTTTATTTATTAAATATTTATATAATTGTTTTACATCTTATATGATACACTTATATTTGTTTACTTTATTTTATCTGAGACTACTGCAGTTGCATTTTTGAAGTAAACCTAATGTTTTATTGATCCAAAAAATTGGGTTATGATTGGCTCAAACTTTTTGAATGCTTGAGTATTTATTTTATTTTTTTATTTTTTTATTTTATTTTCAAATTGCAGTTTCATTTAAAAAAAAAAAAAAAAAAGCTGTAAAGCTGCAAATGTTTTTATGCAATGTGACTTGAATTTACAAGCGAGTGAACTTACTGTGAATGAATGTACTTTATATATAGTGTATGCCTTCCCTGGGAATCAACCCGTGACCTTGGTGTTGCTAGCACATGTTCTAGCAGCTATGCAACAAAGCTAGAAAAAACCACAGAAAGTCTCCACATAAACATTGACCCTCTATTCTGTGTGTATGTCAAATTTTCCTGCTAGTGAGAGTATTTTGCACACAAATGTCTATCAGGAAATTCTGGTTTGTGATTCATTCCGAGTCAAGAGAATGAATTACGCTGAGCAACATGCGCTCGTTTGATGAATCTGGCCTGTTGAGTTTATGATGATCTAATAAGCTAATTTTGTGGCTTAGCTTTCATCACTCGGCCTCTGCTCAGAGCAGAGCTGTGAATCCAGGGCTAGGGAGGTGTGTGATGGATGGCCACAGTCTGGCCCCTACCTCGCCCCCATCCGGCTGGAGCTCCCGACAGCCAGGCCGAGGTTAGGGAGACAGAGGAGAGAGATCAATTCTTTGAGCACAGGGAGAAATTAGGCATGAAATTAAAGCGACCTACTGCTGACCGCAGCCTGATCCTTACTGCAGTTAAGCCTTCATTTCACCCTCTCTATATGATGACCACAAAAGCAGGGGGCCACTCATGTCCATTTGGCAATGCCCGGGGTAGAGGCTACACCGAGAAATAGAGACAAAAGCAACAGACGAGCCCTGCCTAAGATGGCTGCCAGTTTCAGCGCTGATGACCCGCCATTACTTATACTGCTTGAGACCAAGTGCAAGGTCGGTTCAATCTAGCCCCACCATAAATCAATGCACTAGTGGAGAAGCCAAGGTTACAGGCCCTGACAGCCATCACTGAGGAGAGGGTATTTATAGACAAGGAGCGAGAAGGCTGCTTTTTGAGTATCTGTGTGTGCGTTTCTGCATGTTTGCTCATGAGTGTGTGAAAATGTATTTGTGTACCTGCACCTGTCTTTATGCATTATTATGTGAGTATGTATCTGTATGTTGATTTATTAGTCACTTAGGAATAGGAAAATGGGAGAAGGTTGTTTGAAAGATGGAAAACGTAAGGATTTCTGTGTTAGATTTATTGCAAATTCAGTAGTTGCTGTTGCTTGAATATTACAGGACTAATAATAAGGAAGCAAAATGTGTTGCAAATGTACATTTGCATTCATATACATATGCAAAACAACAATACGCAGGCAGCGCAATGCTTAATTGCAGTCGCAGCAAAAGTGTGTGAGTCTTCGGGGGGGGGAAACAGAGCAACAAAGGCTGTCTGGTGTGCCACAACAATACGCAGGCAGCGCAATGCTTAATTGCAGTCGCAGCAAAAGTGTGTGAGTCTTCAGGGGGGGGGAAACAGAGCACAAAGGCTGTCTGGTGTGCCACCTAGAGTCTGCCGTCAATGACAGCACCAAAGTGTTATTACTTCAGTTGGGCACTAAAGAGATACCTAGAGCTACTGTTTTGTCCTCTAGAGATGAGATGTAGCTCAATAAATTAAT